AGCTTGAACTTCTGGTCTGGGCTGGAATGTGGGTTCATCCCAGCCTTCCCTTGGGCCCAATATGAGACTTCTGCTAACAAACTATTTGTACAAACTCAGGAGGATGATGTGTTGATGACTCCATAGAAAGTGGGTTTATCTGGCAACGTGGTGATTTACCTTGCCTATCATTTTGAAATCAGTTCTCTTGTTTGTCAGTTCTAACCATCATTCTGAAACTCCAGAGGAACCCAGGCTCCAAATCCCAAGATATTCCAGGTACTAAAAGGGAACCCATTTCCTCTCTACAAGCAGCTGAATCCAGCTTCCTCCCTGCTCTTTTTAAAGACATGTTACAGGAGACCCATTTTCTTTCAGTGCCTCATTTGGCTTCTTATCCTCTCCAGTTCTTTCTCCTTGTTGAGCTTTTCCCACCCAGGCTGCTCTTTTTTTAAACCTCTTTTTTTTGTAAAAATTATTTATTTAATAACCACATGACTAGAAGAAGCATTTCATTACAGCACTAACATATTTAATAACAATTTCCAGAGCAAAGGTGCATCTCTTTCAAAATTGGCTCTAAATCTTTAGGTTCACAGTTGAATTAATACAGTTATACAGTATTGAACTCAGTATAAACCCTATAGGACATAAAATTGAATGAGGTTTTAACCTTTAAAAAAGATCTCCCTTTCATTCTAAAGTATACTGTTTCATACAGAAAAACTCATTTTTAATGCTGCTAACACTTTGATGTTTATACATGGATCTCTAATCTCTATGTATCTGATTATTACCAGTCACAGTCAGTTGCTTTCTGAGATCCTTGGCACCTGAGCATGGATATAAAATCATCAGGTTGATTTCAATGGCAATGTTTTTCACCTCTACTAATTAATATGAAACAAATTTTTATGCTTCTTCCTCAAATATAACTCATTTTTTATTTGTTGAACTTTTGTGTATATTTTGTACAGAACATCCCAAATAATCTTATTTATCTATATACCCACATCCCAAATGGCACCCTCCCATAGCCTCTCCCATCCCCCGCACTGGAGCCCATATTCCCTGCAATCCCTGTTGCTGACCACTGTGTTGTCAGCGCCAGCCTTTCCCCAATGTGTGTCCATCCACTGAGTCTAGTCGGCCTATCTGGAGGTCCTTGTTTTAGGAAGGTCAGCTGTTCCTCATCTAGCAGCAATCAATTGTCAATATTCCTTCAGATAAGATTGGAATCTGCTGTCCATTTTCCCAGTTCTATGCTTGGTTACTGTCTGGGAGTCTCTTGGGCCACCCTGGCCAACAACTCAAAGGAAGGTATCTCCTATCTGGCATTGTTTCTTGTTATGTAGCATTTAGCTATACACATGGACTCTTAAAGAATTATATTGATGTCTTTAATCTTTGGTTATACTTTCCTTTTGGGTGTTTAAGACCATACAGTTGGCTCAGATAAACAAATTTATTTTTACTTTTAGGGTCATTTGAGGAGCTGTTCCTCGGGGGTCATATGGGTTTGGGAGGGGCCCCTGGCTCCTTTCTTTTAGTTCCATCTATGTGAAGATGTCAAAGGTCCTGCCTGATCGTGGATGGCTTAACTTGGAAACATGGAGGAAATGTTTCCTCTGTGTTAACCTTCATCTTTGTAGACTGGACACTGGTTCAAGTCCATTTGGTGAGGTCTCCATGGCCTCCTTGATCAAGAGGACAGGTGACTCACAGCACTTAAATGATATTTTGAGAGATGCTCATAGTCTCCTGGAACTTAGTCGACCTAGGAGGGCAAGGAACCAAAACTGTCCTTTATGTACCTCTGACCAAATTAGTGCACACCTCAAAGTATGGCTGTTAAACATCCAAGGAGGTCAGTTCCACCAGTCGGGTAGTTTTAAATACCGTGTGCTATGTAGATAAAGCTTGGGCAAGACCAAACGTTCTCAGATAAACCTTGCCTAGGCCTATATTGTAGTCCTTGAGCTAGTTGTATGTATAATTTGTCAGTAGGCTGTTGGATTAATATGGTTCCCTCTTTTTTTTTTTTTTAAACTAGCTAGGTATTACTTATCTCTCACATTGTCTAACTCTTCCACCATGGTTTCCCAATTTAAAGTGTTCCCATTTTTCCCATTGCTCCCTTAACAATATCCTTCTCCTATGGTCCCACCTCTCTTGAGCTCCTTCTTTCCCTTTATCCCCAAGGTTCCTTGTATAACCCTCATTTTTATCTATATCTCCCGTATTAACACCTGTTTCCTACTGTTCTTCTCTTTCTGATTCTTTCTTTTCCTTTACCTCCCTAGTTCCTTTTCATTATCCTGGTTCCTGTAGTTATGTCTGGATACATACTCATAAGGATTTGGTGCTAGGATCCCCATATGAGGGAGAACATATGCCTTTTGTTTTTCTGAGTCTGTTACTTCACTTAACATAACAGTTTCTAGTTCGATCCATTTACCTGCAAATTTCATGATTTCATCTTTCTTTACTGATGAGTAAAATTCATTATCCACTTGTCAGTTGTGGGACACTTAGGTTGCTTCCATCTCTTAGCTATTGTGAAAAGAGCAGCAACGAACATGGATGTACAAGTGTCTCTGCAGTAGGATGAGTTTTTTGGGTATATGTCAAGGAGCGGTACAAAAAAAGGATCGTCTAACCAAAAGCACTTTTTAATTTTCTTTAGTTTTGGTTATCAAAGAATGAGAATAGGTATGGGTGTTTAATTGACATTTTATTAAAAGTATAAAAATATATTTAAGGGTTGGAGTGATGGCTCTGTGATTAAGAACACTGACTGCTCTTTCAGAAGACCCAGGTTTGAATCCAGCAACCACATAGCAGCTAACAACTGTCCTTAACTCCAGTTCCAGAAGATCTGATGCCCTCTTCTGTCCTCCCTGGGCACTGTATGACATTGGTGCACACAAACATGCATGAATAACATTCATACACATAAAATAAAATCAAACAAATAAAAATAAACTAATATATTTTTATTTTTGAGAAGATAATCTACCTGACATGAAAACTGTGATCTTTTGAGTCTAATTCCCAGATTGATTTATGTCTGGCACTGAGATAAGGTGCAGTTTGTATAAAAGTATGGCATGTTCGGACTGCAGTGTGGATCGTCCTTTACTTCTCCCTGCTAGGGTGAAGGTGACCAGTGTTGTGACTTGTCTGAAGTTAAGGTATCCTGGCAATTCAGCTCTGAGCATTATCAAGATTTGTGTCTGATTCCTCTGCTTGGTATCCGTGTGCCCTGAAACAATTTCACTGCTCTCAGTCTCTAAGCTCATTTGGTAAACATGGAATGATAGTTCCTACTTACACTATTTCAAGAATCACAGAACCTCAAGGTTTCAAAAGTGCTGAGCATCTATTATATAGTGCATATATGAGGACCAATAGCCCTCTAGTTCCGGCCTTCATTTTCCTGCCAACATACCACCTCATACATAGTGTAGGCACCCACAAACTGGTTACACAAGTGGAATATAGTGATTCATGCAACTGCCAGAGAAAAGCCCCCATTAAAGGAAAAAGCAGGCAAAGCGGTTATATGGCCTTGGCTTTAAGTGATGACAAACAATACCCTGCCACCAGATAGCACTTGATCTAAGAACTTTGGGAAAAATTAAATACATTGTAGGCATCTGGGAAAGTGTAATATCATGCTTCTTGGTTGAGAGAATAGCTGAGGTAGTTATTTAAAGACTTTTTTTTTTCCATTTTGCAGTAGATTTATGCCTGTTGTGTTTAGCCTGTATCTCCACATCATTTTCTTCTTGCAGAATCATCTGTTTACAGCTTCTTAATTTATTATTCTTTCCAGGGTCTAGGGCATTCCACCTTTTCGCACCCAAGACTTGGGAATACATTATCTTTACATTTAAAACTGCAAATATTGTCACACCAAGACAGAATGTGTTTGGCATGATATTAAAGCAAAAGATTGTCTATGAATTTCATTAAAGGGTGGAACACTGCAGAGCTTGAAGAATGTTAAATCTGGACAGGAATTCACACCACCTCTGTGCAAATTTTCTCAGCTTCCTTCTTTCTTTGAATTCCTTCCATCTTTTGTTAGCACTTCCCTTTGAGTTGTTTTAGAAAAGCTTCATGAGATATGACACACATATTGCACAATTCACCCACTGGACCAGTACAACAAAGTGGCTTCTGTTTTTTTCACGGAATTAAGCAACGATCACCACAATTTATTTTCAAACATTTTTATCACCCCAGAAGAAATCTCATAACCGTGTCTTCTCATAAAAGAGTCAGAAAAACTCCAAAAGGGGCAAAGCAGAAGGGAAAAATTCAAGTTCTTTGTGCCGGTGCCCCTAAATCCTATGGGGAGTCCACAAAGATGTCTCCCCATCCCAGCCAGGCTACCTTCCCCAGGGGCTTGTCAATCACTCCTGAAGGACTTCCCAAACAGTCTGAGTAACCTCCTCCCCCTTCCCTCCACCCCTCCTCCTCCTCCTCCTCCTCCTCTCAGCTGTCAGGAAATCCTGGATCCACTGTTGCCCTGGAGCCACTTGTGTTTTAAGTAACCAGGGACTGAGTTGAATTTTAAGCAAAGAAATAGATGAATAAACGAAAACAGTATTCCAGGGGCCCCGCTGCGATATGCAGAGATGCAGGATTCCTCTGTGGGACAGAGGCAATGCCTTCTGCACCACTGATTCCTCCAGGGATAAGGTACACAATTTGCTTGAGAATTAAGAACAAGTTCGGAGCTTTGGCCTTGCTCTAGGAGCCATTCTGTGTAAGTCGAGAGGACCTTTTGCGGTTTGAAAGTGACTGTACTAGGTTGAAAACGCGTGTCAAAGTTGCATCATGCTGTCACATAAGGCAACTCCTGCAAAAACTCGTGCGTGCCCCTTTCCCAGTGTTCCGCTCCTGTGTGTTGCTTTCCTGGTGGCTCCAGGTCGGCTTTTCCCGGTAACTTCAGTTTGACTTCCAAACTTCTGGGCTCCACACTCTCCTCAGAATTTGTCCCCGCCTCCGATTCCCAAAGGGCACTGACAGTCGCTGCACTCCAGTTGAGAGGGATTGGGGGCACTGAGACCGGAGGCAGCTGAGCCTAGGACTGGAGGCAGAGCCAGAGGATGAAGCCATCCTGGCTACAATGTCGCAAAGTCACCGGCGCTGGGTCACTTGGGGCTCCCATACCCGGATCCCCTTCAGCGAGAGCAGCTGGTGCAATCCGAAGGGCTTTGGTGGCCCCAGGTGCTCGGGGCGTAGGGGGCCTGGGCTGCAGGGCGCTGACCACCGGCGGCAGTGGCGAGTACAAGACCCACTTCGCGGCCTCTGTAACTGACCCAGAGAACTTCTGGGGTAAAGCTGCTGAGCAGATCAGCTGGTACAAGCCCTGGACCAAAACACTAGAGAACAGATACCCGCCTTCTACTAGTTGGTGAGTGACAAGAGCTAGTTCCAATGCCTCCTAACTTCTTGGATGTCAAGGGTTGGAAGTTTCTGGGACCAGTAATCGAGTTCTACCAGAAAAGAATCAAAATTTCGGATATTTTCAGCATTACCGCTGTTGGTCGATTTCATTCCCATAGCTGTCTGACATTCTCCCTTTGAAGTACTTGGTTATCTATGTGGTGCTAGTTCCCCATATACTAGAGATTTATTTGCGTGGCTCTGACACTGGAGATGCTGAGAGGTCTAAAACAAAGGCTTTCCTGCAGGGACAGTACCTACTGGTAGAGGAGACACCACCGTAAACAAACCAGACCTTGTAATACACTAGGGAATTATGGACCTGTGAACTGTGGGGAGGCAGAGAGTTCAGGAAAGACTTCAATAAAATCATAACTGAGCAGGATTTGGAAGGACAAGACTTTATATTCTCAAAGCTGAAATAAATGCTGTTATTTGAGTCCAAGGAGGCAGAAAACAGCTTGAGGTGACTGGCACTACATTTGCAAATAATTTTGCTGGCTAGAAAGACTGGAGAAAAAGTGAATGAGCCTGGGACAAGGGTAGGAAGAGGCTTATATATGGTGCTAAGTAGATCTATCTATCTATCTATCTATCTATCTATCTATCTATCTATCTATCTATCATCTATCATCTCTCTATCATCCATCTATCTATCATCTATCATCTATCTATCTATCATTCAACTATCTATCTATCAATCATCTATCAATCATCTGTATGACAGTGGGGAGGAGTGCCCAGAGGGCAGATAGAGGCCAGGTGATATTAGGGGTCCTGCTAGGAAGAAAGCTTTCTTCTTAGAGTTGCAATTATAAATCCTTATAAACATTTTTATATTATAATAGGATGCATGTAGAATAGCTGCCACCCTTGTTTGGTTTTTGAAAGGCCCATAAACTGTGAGAAACTCTGGGTGCCTAACCCTTTAAAGTGTGGTTGTTCACATTTGCTAGTTAATAGGGAAGGATGGTGTCTCTAAAAATTTGAAAAAAAAATAACTTCACTGGTCAAGTTACTTTCCTCCTCAGAGTGGGGAATTGGGGATGAAATTGGAAGGGGTCTGCTCTGTGTCCTTATCAGGCCTGGTCCCCTCATGCTCTGTGTCCTAATCACACTTAGTCCCCTTGTGGTTCTTTTGTTTTTCTCATTTTGTCCTTTGGAAATGTTTACATGGTGTTCCTTTCAAATGTGAGTACCTTGCCCTTCCAGTTCAGTTTATTTTTCCAGTGGTATTTGATTGATCCACTTTTATTTGCTAACAGTGAAGTATATGACAGTGAGTGAAATACAGTGTTTGCTATCTGGGGCATACTCCCTGAGTTTGAATTCTGCTTTCGTAGTTACTGAATTACAGTTGAGTTACATAACCTCTCTCTACTTAATTTTTCTTAAGATTGGATTATTAGTTTGCATACTAACTGATTAAGAAATAAAGACCATATCTTGTATGGAATAGATGCTATAATCTTTTTATATTTTATTATTTTTATTTTACGTGTCTGAGTGTATTGTCTGCAGATATGTAAGTGCATTTGTGTCATGCAATGCCTTAAGAGGTCATAAGAGGGTGTTGGATCCCCTGGAACTGGAGTTATGGGTGGTTGTTAACTGCCATATGAGTGCTGGGAACCAAACCCAGGTCCTCAGAGCCGGTGCTCTTAACTGCTGAACCATCTCTTCAGTCACCTATAACTGTTATTAGAGGAAAAACTATCCTTACATTTTCATACTACAATCACCTCAGGCCACAATAGAGAATAGAGATTATTGCCTCACTTCATTCTGCAGGCTCAGTGTTCATGTTTGCCTTAATACTGGACTCATCGATTTTATGTGGCCATCCCTTCCACAAAAGTGATGTGCCATGTGGTGGCACAAGTCTTTAATCCCAGTGCTTGGGAGGGTGGGGGAATGGCTTAAGGGTAAAGGTGCTTAAAGGTACTTGCTTCTAAGCCCGATGACTTAAGTTCAAGACCCCAGACTCATATAGTAGGAGAGAACTAATTCCAAAAGTTGTCCTCTGACATCTATACACATGCTGTAAAACACACACACACACACACACACACACACACAAAAAAAAAAAAAAAAAAAAAAAAAAAAACAAAAAAAAAAAAAAAAAAAACACTGAAATTTTTTTTTTTCAAAGAAGCCACTGGGAAACTCTTTGTGAAAACTAAAGATGATGAACCCTGAGTCTTGGGCAATAGCAATGTGGGAAAAGAGAGCTTAGAGCACTTCCAGGGGCTAGTATGCATCCGGAAGGTCACAAGAAAGGACAGAGAAGGACGAAATTTGTGTGTGCAACACAATAACAATTAGGATTCAAGATCTTGGGGCTGGAGAGATGGCTCAGCAGTTAAGAACACTAACTGTTCTTGCAGAAGACCCAGGTTCAAATCCCAGCACCCACATGGCAGCTAATAACTGTCCTTAACTCCTGTTCCAAGGAATACAACAGCCTCTTTTGTCTTCTATGGCCATTGCATGACATGGGTGCACTTACCAACATGCAGGCAATACATGCATACACATAAAATAAAAATAATAAATAAAATAGTTTAAAAAATGATTCAAGATTTCATTTTTAATGACTTGATTACTTTTACTTCTCTAAACTCTAGTGTCTTGCCTACATTTTTAAAAGTTGTGAACATAAAATCTTGTTATTTTGGTCTTTTTGGGACAGGGTCTCCCTGTAGCCCCACCTGGCCTTTAACTTGCTATGTAGACTGGGCTGACCTTGATTTCATAGAGTTGACCTCTGCCTTTCAAGTGCTGGGATTGAAGGTGTGTACCACCACTCCAGGCCATAAAATATTGTTTTAATAAAAACTTTGCAAAAGGGTATTTGTATTTAAATTTTTTTGAATATGTTGTGGATCACTGACATTTGATAATATTACATCTGAATTATTCATCTTTGTACTCTACATTTCTTACCTGTTCCCTGGCATCCCAGAAGATCAAAGTGAATAATAAAAATTTTAACCTAAATTAGTTCAGCAGTGTGATTCAGATTTTTGGTTGGCATAGCAGAGTTGTGAAGGGAAGAAGGAACAGGACACCAATCTTAAATATTTATTTAGTAAGTGGTGTCAGTTTGAACATATTGCAGTATTGGGTATGACTGTATTGCAGTATTGGGTATTGGCTAATTTTCAACAAACTCAAGGAAAAGTAAATGTCTTTTCCTCCCCCTATACATCTCTATGGCATAGGGCAGAGACAGTATGGGTGTAAAGATAATATGCAAATAGCAGAATTCATAAGCTGGAGAACTTTTACTATGTATTTGACATAGTAAGTGGGTATAAGCATGAATTGATGTGAAAGGATTTCAACTTAATCCTTAAGCAAAACAATGAGAAGCTGCTGTAGAGAATTGCACTCTTCCAGTTGGCACTGGTGTGCATGTGGCACAATCTCTGATTCCCACTGGCTTCCTATAAGCAAGCTGAGGTCTCTTACATTGTAAGTTCATCTTTTAGTTTTATTGAACATAAACTCCCTTCAAAATATATAGACTTATATCAAAACCCTAATACATATACACAATAGCTTTCACAATAGCCTAAAGTCTCCAATATCACACATGCACAGTAGTTTAAACACGGAATATAAATCTTATGATGACATGTAGAAGAAACTGCAATGTGTTAATGACTCTGAAACATGTCTTTAGTACTGCAGTATGAGATATTTGAGCAGAGCCCCATTATACGGAAGTGCTTTAAGCTTATGAAGAACCAGCTCCCCTCACAGCTTAGTAATGTCTTCCTATTGTTGGCACCTGGTTTCTGGGTAGTAGTCTCTATATGAGACACTTTCATTGGAGAATTGCACTTCAAAGTGAAGCAAGTAGAGATCTTCATGATTTTTTTTTAAACCTGGAAGTTCTGGCTATTTTTTCCTGTTGAAATATTCTCTGGCCTATTCTGAAATTGAAACCAAACTGCCGCTGTCTGAAAGATTAGGCAATTTAGTTTTCCATTGCACATTGTGATTGGCTTTTTGGGTCATTAATATATTCCTTTCTCATAAATATCACAATGTAATTTTAGCTTTTTCTTATTTAAACAACATTCAATATAAGATTCTCAGAATTTGGGGACTGATGAGATGACTCAGTGAGTCAAGGCAGCTGACACCATTCTGGACAATCTGAGTTTGATTCCTAGGACCATTTGAGGTAGGAGAGAATAAATTCCTGAAAGTTGTCTTCTGACCTCCACAGGTATACCTTAATATGCTAACCCCTGAAATAGATGAATAAATATGTAATAAAAGTTTGAATGAATATTCTCAGAATTTAAATCAGATTAAATATGCCTCGATTACTATATGCTGAAAAGAAAGACTCTAAATTCAGATTATTAGAAAATGATGTAACTTAGTTAACCTTTCTGTAATGGAAATATTGTTGTTATAAAAGATGGAAGATCATGCCAGGCATGGTGGTACATGCTTTTGATACCAGCACTTGGGAGGCAGAGGCAGGGGAATCTCTGTGAGTTTGAATTTTGCCTGGTCTACATAGTGAGTTCCAGGCCAGCTGGGGCTACAGGGAGACCCTGCCTCAAATAATAAATAAATAAATAAATATTAAAAAACTTAAAAATGGAAGATTTCAATTTCCTACTGGCTCTCAGTTTATAATTGTTCAATTCTGCTAAGTTTCAAAGTGGATCATATAAATTAAAGGATACCAATCCAATCACTCACATATTGTATATATCCTATAGAAAATGGTGAAAAGAGTTAGTGAAGGAATTAATGATAAAGCAGGAGGGAACAGATAAGAAATACATCATTACAAACTGTACTGTCTAGGACTATTCCTGACATGTAGCTCTGAGGGTGACTATTAACTAAAGGGCAGAAGAGATATTTCCATGAGCTAATGTGCCCCAAGAAGGTTTTGATGGAAATAATAGCCTTTGGACTAGATCTTGAAATAGAACC